TTTGGTCCCGCTGTTCTGCCTGAAGAATGCTTGCCTGGCACCTGTTGGTGGCAAAAACACAGCTCACCACTGAATGCCATGGGTAACTTTTGTTCCTGCATCCTTGGTTGCTGTCCCCCAAGTTAATCTGAAAACAACTCTGCTCACTTGGTCAAGGCCCATGCTTGGTTTTATGTTGGATAGAATTCGGTGTGCTGGGCTCTAATGTACACCCTCCCAACCCCGTGCATATTGCCAGGGCAACTCATCCTTTCTTTCCTCTTTGGCTGTGAAGCCACACAAATCTTGTTTTGAATCCTTGTTCTGTCGCTTCTGGCTATGTGACCTTGGGTAAGTGACTTGTCTTAAACCTTGTTTTCCTCATTAATGGGACTAATGAAAGCCATTTTATGGAGACTTTGTGAGGTTGAGAGTTAATGGATAAAACTTGGCAGCACAAATTAGAGCCACTCGGTAAGTGGTAGTAGCTAGTAAATATTAAGAATCTAAAGCTTGCTTGGAATGACACACTATAATAACAGCAAGACAAAATAATCCCAAGTGAGTAGGGAAAAAAATCTCTTCTAAGTGTGGAGTATAAATGTAGTATCAGCATAATTTTCTGGTCCTATCTGCCAGTGATATGCCACTGGACAGGGGCTGTGAGATTCTAAACCACAATTTTCCATGGCTATGTCTGCTCTACAGAATGTGCTCTGGGCCATATACACCATCAAGGATATGAAGGACCCTTTGATAGAAAATCTAAGAATGTTTAAAATGAACATCGATGTAAAAAACATATTACAAAAATATATGAAGGACTCTTTGATAGAAAATCTAAGAGTGTGAATCATTTCACCCTGACTGCATGAGCAGGATGTTGCATAGCACACAGCACAGCCTGACCACCTGGTTTGCTTTCATGGAGAAGGCAGCGACCACAGAGCTAAGCAGAGCAAAAACTCTGTCCCTATAAGGAGTTTGTTGTTAAATCTAGAGGCCTCTCACTGGCTCCTGAATAGCACTGTGAAAAAAAGACCTGGTAGAGAGTAACTCAGTCCATGCCTTGAGCTCTAGTAATGTCCCCGTGTGAGGGGTTCATTCCACGCAACAGCAGTGCTTTCTCTGATTCCATCTGTGCTGGAATTTAAGGTCTATGTCCTTATCTCCTAATGTAGATTCTCTGTCACGTGGTTGAAACAGTGGGAGTCTTTCCAAGATCATGACCCCCAACACAAATCGTCACCTCCCCTAAACGTTGCATAACTTGGACTAAGGGTTGAACTTCGATGGGTTTAGTGTACAAAGGGCTTCCCACCTCTTCATTCATTGTAGGTTCACAAATCAGACTCTTTTTTTTGTTCTCTTCTGCTGGTCTCTCCAGCATTTTCCTGACTTGACATTTCTCTGCTGCCACAGTATGTCCTGTCTTTCTCTCTCTGCTGTTCCCCACCAGCCCCCCACCTCCTCCCTACTTGTAGGATGGTGCTGGCAATACTGAGAAAGGATAGTTACATTCATAACTGGAGGGGGAGTCAGCCAGGCCCTGCTGATTGTGGGGGTACATTCATTTCCCTCCTTTCCCCACAAAGTGGCATTTTCTTGAAATGCTGCTCAGTCACATTTATAAGAATGGCACAATTTTCAGTCGAGGACAAGGATGTTGATGCAACTCAAGCAAACTGCCTGACACATGTTTTACCCAGCCAACCATTCTTCTTGAGGAGGAAATTAGATCAGAAATATGGAGACAGCACCAACATTCCAACTCCTGATAGCTTGTAAATGTGGGAAATGCTGATTTGTTTTGTAGGTTTTCAAAATCAGATAATGTGATTGTCATTTTGAGGGCCACTCCAGAATCTACAATTTTCAGTTTACTTTAATCTTGATGATTACTTCACTCCACCATGAATGGATTGAAAACAGGGATGCTTTCTTAGCTGGAGATTTAGGGTTTCCTATTTGAAAAAGGCTTCTCTGTCCACAATTAACCCTGGTCTCTAAAATTTTGTCACTTCTCAATAGATGGAAACCCACTGAACAGTGTGACTTCTAATATTATTCTCTCTGCTAGTTGTAAATCTCTTCAGCTACACCCACTCAAACCAAAACAACTTTTTGTTGTTAAGACTTCTCATATTTATACAATCTGTGTTTCTCAATCTTGATGAAAATGTAGAAGAAAAGGAACCACATGCCACATATGTAGTCATTTCTCATAAATGTGGGACATTTGGGTAGCTTCTGTAAATTCAGCAGTCTATACTTAGTGGCTCATTCTTTCAATGTAAAAGAATATTCTTGCAGTTCTTAAAAATTATGACAGAGAGAGATTTGGCAATATGAAAAGAAGTTAGATATATAACAAGTTAAAAAAAATCGGTCATGTTGCAGAAAAAATAGGAATTCTATCAGAGTGTGTTATAAACAAATTGCATGTGTTTATCAATTTATTATGTATGTATAGTATTCTCTGTGCATGCTGTCATAGGAGAGAACCATATAAAACAAAAAGTTCATGAGAGAACTTCTGCTATTTGGTTATTTGGGTTTATGACCTTAATCTGTATTATCTAATTGTTCTACAGTAAATAGTTTTACTTTGTGTTCATTTTCACATCTAATTGTGAGGTGTAGGGTATAAAGGGACTATGAACTAGGTCCATTGATTTCATGACAATCAGACAGGTGATGAAATTATAAAAATCTCTCCTGTGTCTTCTCTGTTGTTACAGATAGTGAATGTGTTATGCCAGATGTTGTTAAAATGTTTTCCTTTTGTTAAGTCTCTTCTACATGCAGGGCGCTCGGCCCTTGGAACGGCACATGTGGCAGGTGTGGTTATCACCAGGATGCAGATGAGGGGGGTTCCAGTCCAGTTCTATCACTGGCGTCACAGAGCTGATAAGTGGCTGAGCTGAGACGCAGACACAAGTCTGACCTGAAGTCAGTTTATGTGACTCCCGTGATTCTCACCGTGTGTCCTGTGCGCCGTCAGGGTGAAGGGGCTAGTGGATGGGAGTGGATTATAAATGTTGCTTTAAAAAGAAAGTATTCCACTGGATGGTTTCACGCATATGTAAAATATAGACAAACCGAAGGGTCGGACAAGACCAACCCAATAACAAACCCTAGAAATCTGGCTGTAAATTGAGGCTACTAGAGGAACAGTGAGAACGTGGAGGGGCCGCTAAGTGGGGAGGTGGCCCAGTGCCCTATGGTAAAGCCTGTGGGTGTCTTGGGGGGGCATGTGGTGTGAAGACAGGTGTCTGAGGAGGTGTGATCCTGTAGCTCTCAATCGCATACGGTATTGTAAGCCAATGTCACCTCAATAAAAAAATGATAATGCAAACAAAGAGGCACTGGGAGATTTTACCAGTATGTATGTATTTCAGCACCTACATTGTTTTCCTGCTGTCTTTTTTTTTTTTAAGATTTATTTATTTATTTATACAAGAGCTGGGGTGCAGTCCAGAGGTGCAGGGGGTGAGAGGATTCACTAGAGACAGAGTGTGGAGCAGAACAGACTGACTGAAATGCACTGCTGAGGGGAGCAGTGGGCGAGTCAGGAGAGGTCTGCTGTGCCATGTGGGTCACCCCCCGGGCCTGGGATTGAACTCGTGCTGCAGTGATTGGGGACAGCTTCATAGCACTGAGACTTTACCCCTGTGCCACCAGGGAAGCACTTTCCTGCTATCTTTTAAATAAGAGTATAAACTTCTCAAGAGTCAGACTCAGGTCCAGTGCCCTCCCCTCTGCAGCACAGTTGGGGGCTTCTCCTTGGGACTGTGAAGTGCGCCCACGAATATGCCCCCAGGATGCTGAGCACCCTGAGCAGGAGGCTCCCTCCAGGCCGCCCTAGTGCCCAGAGCACTCTCTTCCTTTTAGGGCCAGAGAGGAAAAGCAGTGACTTTCTTACAGCTCACAGAATTAATCCCAAATGCTCCAGGATTATGGGAAAGTTGCCAGTCTTGGCAGCCAGACAGCTCTGCCTCCCAACTCCTCCTAAACCTGCTAAATCGTCTTTAAAACAGTCTCTGGAAATTTTTTAAAAATTGGATGTTGAGCACAGTTCCTTCTGTGGTGCAGATTAAAAGTCTGCCGCTGTCACTCTCTTATCTCCCTTTGTCTTTTGGGCTTCCTCTTCCAGCATTCACATCATCTCAGTCTGTTCCCACACTCTAGCTCAGACACTGTGGCTTCCTCGCGGGATTACTCAGTCGGGCTGACATGTGGCCCCCAGCGCCTCTCTGCCAGGACCACATTCCCATGTGAGCCCCACTACGGATCCCTTTGGGGTCACTGACTTTCGAGGGGGATGGGTGGAGCTATGGATGGGCATTTTGCAGAAGGGCAGAGTGCAGTAATGGGGCACTCTGGTTACTTATTAAGACATATTCAGTCAGCCCCATGGTGGGGTGCAGATTGGCATTTTTTAAAAGATTTATTTATTTATGCATACAAGAGCTGGGGTGCAGGCCGGAGGTGCAGTGGGTGAGAAGATTCCCCAGAGACAGAGTGGGGAGCAGAACAGGCAGACGAACCGAAATACACTGCTGAGGGGAGCAGTGGACGAGTCAGGAGAGGTCTGCAGCACCATGTGGGTAGCTCCCCGGCCATTCCGGGATCAAACTCATGCTGCAGAGGGTGCAGATAGCTTCACAGTGCTGTGCTTAACCCCTTGTGCCACCCAGGGAAGCCCCCAGATTGGCATTTTAAAAATCCATTAAAAAATGATTTCCCAGGCTCCATAGTATAGACTCCATTATCAGACAGTGCACACATTTTGTGATAAAGGAATAAATCACATGACTGTTTTCTCTGTAATGATTGTCAAATCTCTGTTTTTAAAATTCAGGTAGTCAAACAGTTGTGCGTACACAGTTCTTTGGACACTCATTGTGCATATAATACATGCCAAAGTGTACAGTGCTGGATTTCTTATCTCTAGGTCTGCCTTCTGATCCGATGGATACAATGGGCTTAATGCATTTTAAAATCTTTTTCTCTTCCAGTTTTCCAAAGAAATTAGTCCGTTTTCTTGGTGAAGAGGAACCAATCTGCTGTTTTCATAGGGTGAGTGAACCTTTGACTTTTTTATCTATTTTTTTACCAACATCAGCATTTTATCAAATTATTCTATGCTACAAGAAAAATGATGGATTGCATGCCCTCTCTAGAAGTTTTCTCCCACGTGAAACCAAGACGTTCTATTTGCTTATTCTTCCCACCACTGGAGCAGTCAGAAGGGACGGTTTTCTCTCTTAGATTTCATTGTCCACATGTTTTGCCTCTTAGGAGTTGTCATCCCATTGCTGTTGCCTTGTCCAGCTACAGATGGGATGAGAGATGCCATTATTTTTCTTCAGTAACTGATGTGGCTAAGAGGCTGAGGCAGAGGGGAACCATTGGTTTTGTTCACATGATGCATGTTCCATGAATTGCCTTGACAAGGATGTGACAGGATATGAACACTGGATGGGGCCCTGCAGCTCACCTGGCAAAGCCACTGTGGAGGGGCCAGGTTGCTGCGGTCTAGAGGATTTCAAGTCACCTGTCTAGGAGCTTCTCCAATAGCAGTGGAGCTGATATTATGAGGCAGACATTTGACTCCCAACTGTGGAAGTCACTATGGTGTCTTTCCAATCCTGACTCTTTCTGTAGATATGGAGAATCACTAATGGTTCTATAGATGTAATACCAACAAAATGATGATACCAGCCCTCAAATGCAAGTGTCAGGAGTGAAACACTTTACCTGTTTAACTTTGTAGTATCATAAGTGGCTACAACCAAGAGAGTCTGGGAGAGTGGATGGACCCAGAACTCTTCTGTATGGACTTCAACTGAGGGGGCATATTTTCTTTCTCAACCTTCCCAGACCACTGCATTTGTGATGTCACATCCCGTGCTGAGACTTGGTTGCACATGTTTCGCAGATAGAAGCTTCAGGTGCGACAGGCCAGCTCAGACATGCACACTGCTACACAAGACCATGTGCGCCTGTGGAGTAATGCCTAGTGGATTTCTTACAGTGCAGCACAAATTTGGCCCACGGTCATAGAGACATTCGGAAAAGCAATTCTTCACTAAAAATGTTATGCTGTTTTTCACATGGGGTATGATGGAGAGCAGCATGAGGCGATGATTCCTGACGGGAGTCCTAGAAGGGGTTCCTGCCTGTGCTGCTTTTGAGGATGACCTGCTCTGGATCATGCCCATTTAGGTTAATGTGCCAAGTGCACTTATTTCCAAAACACTTTATCATACCTTGGGATGAGATTGATCTAAACTGTAGTATTGAGAGCCCATGTCCACTATGTCATCCCATTTCTCAACTTAACCACTTTATCTCAACAAATGAGGGGTACTCTACTGCGCTAACTAGAGTCATTGTTAAAGAAACACGATATATCTCCATCTCATATCAGGGCACAGAAAATTTGCTTTCTGCCAGTGTACTAAATGGAATTTAGAACATGGAGGGCTGGTTCGCTAAGGGATAGTTGTTATTACTCTACTATTGATCTTTCTGGTCCCCAGATGCTTAATTAGTATGAATGGGCGTTCATTAAACGTGTGAACTTGAGGGTTTCCATTTCCTCACTTTGTCCAAGAAAATCCCAAATGATTTATCTGCAGAACACATGATAGTAGGATATTGGATGGACGTTGGGATCTGAAGCTTCCATAAGGAACCTAAGTGTCCCTGTGCAATCAAGAGATAGATAAAGACTGAAAGAAGACTACTATGTGCTTAAGGAAAGTGGGGTAGTGCCAGTTCCGTGGCCACAGAGAACAAACTGTAGAACAGTCTAAGACATGCTAAAGGGATCATACAGGGCCATCTGGACTCATGCAGACCACTGGCTGCTATTTTGGTTTCCTGCTGGGGTGGGTTTCCCAAGGAGGTTGAAGCTGACCATCAGAAGGCATCAAATAATACAAACCCAAAATATTACCAGCCATTTGCTGTTCCCAGTTGGGGAGGAGACAAAACAAAAACGGAAGCTGTGAGATTCTTATTTAAAAGTAGCTCAGAGGCTGGTCTCCACACATATGGAGGACCACCTGCCACATGCCTATATACCTTTACAAGGGACAGTTGCAAAACCTGAGTCTCTGGGCTCCATTTCATGCTGCGCAGCGGGGCTGGAGCCGGGGCTGCAGCTGCTGCTGTTTCTAAGCTCGCCATCAATGGTATCCCTTTAAGGGAGATGTCGGGAAATGCTCTTGCCAGTGCTGTGATTTTATTTGCTGGAGGCCAAGTAGCAGTGGCATGTATCGGTTCCATAGCAACATGTCTGTGCGGCCAGAGGCAAAAGAATGATGGTCGCAGCCAGCGTCTCCTGGGCAGGACAAGCGTAACCCTGATGCCCCTTTTTTCCCCTCCACCTTATCCTGACCTGCGTTTCCCCTCCTGTAGAGAGCACGGACTTTATAACTGTTACCATCTCTCCCTGCTGTTACCGCTTGTCTCCTGTCCCCATCAAGCTTGGACAAGGGCAGCGATAGCTGTAGTAAGATTCTGCAGTCGGTGCCAGCTGAGCTGGCAGAACACCCCAGCCACAGCAAAGGAAAGTAAGTGGAGTCTTTGCTTGCCATTAGGACCGGCGGCAAAGCAGCTCTGTCAGAATGGTGGGATGAGGACAGCATTTGCTGGCTATCGTGGTCAGCAGGAATGTGGTGGCGAAACGCCACAGACATGGAATCTGGGGGAACAGAGCACCCATTTACAGTGCTCCACAGGTTTTGAGACACTCCCTGGTAGAGTGTACCCCGGGCTGCAGGAAGACTTACAACACACGTGGCGTAACTTCTCGGAGCTTCTGCAGAGGTGCGGTTTCTAATGGCAGTTTCCCCAGTGTGTGCAGTTGGGTTTTAACATTTCACTGATGTTTTTCTCATCTATAAAATCCTCTCCTCTGTGAAACCCTTATGATCACTCTCGATTTTAGCAAATGCTTTCTCCCCCTAAACCCCTGAAGCGTTTAAAAAAATCTTTGCCACTTATTGGACTTGAGTCTTGTGTTGCCTTCTCTGATTCTTAGTGGTTTTTAGCCTGAGTGGCTTCTAGGTGGAGGTGGAGACTTCAAGGTCCAGGAATCATCTATCTTATTCTTCATCTCTTTTTTTTTTTTTTCAATGTGTCTAATGCTTAGAACCGAGCCCTACAGGTAGTAACCAGGCCATTAATATTCGTCACGAGCATGTAATAGTCTTACTGCCTCTCCTTGTGAGGACTTGTGAGGCCAGTGTGTAAATACGGTGAGTGGACATGCTTTTAAGATCTTCTGAGAAAAGACAGATTCAAGCAATTCTATTTCTAGCGTGGTTTTTAAGAGCATGTCGATATGAAATCACAAGGTAAAACTATCTCAAGACTTCACATTTCCTCATTTTCTCCTTTGTGGCTGCCACAAACTGTGGAACCTGGGGTTTTACACCAACGCTGAAGGCAGCCTATTCCCCCACTCACCCCCACGTTCACTATCTATTGAATTTTCCTTATTATACCATTTGGGCCAGACTTCACAGCCAACCCCCTTGCAGTGTCTTTGGAACTATTAAGTAAGAGATTTGAAGGATTTTTCATTAAGGTGACAGGTTTGATAGATTAGGATAGTGGTTCCTAATGTAGTTTTCAAGTCTGTTGGGGGAGGGCAGGTTTTTATCTTATAAAAACTTTTATCTTAAATGACTTCTCTTCCCTTCCCAAGTTCTGAGCCAGCTGAGAAATAAGACAAGCGTAATAAGGCAGTCGGGGGCCAAAATGCACCTCTGTGAGTGCTAACAGTTAAGTGAGTTAGAAGTTGTAGCTTAGGTCAACAGCCAAAGCGGGCTCACCCCCTCCTTTTCCCCGGTCTGGGCCTCGTGACAGTCCACCTGCAGGGAAGTTTTGAGTCTGTGACCCAATGCCTGTGCGAAAAAGGAAGGAGAAAGAGATCAAATCCCCCCACCAGCTTCCTGCTCAACATGACAGCTCTCCCCAGTGGGAATTAACATTACCAAGGAGAGGCCTGGGCCTCGCTGACTCAAGTCTCTAGCTAATAATCACTCTGTCTCCTTTGTTGGGGACATGGGGGTGGGAGAGGATGGAGTAAGAGCCCAGGGGGGCTGTGGGGAAAACCCTCCAGAGAAACACACGGAAGGGGAATGGTGTCTTCCTCTGGTTCTGCTCACAGCTCGCTCTTTCTGCGCTCCAGCCGGCAAGCTCCCCGCTCCTGCTCTAACCATCTTATCCGCTGTGTTAGCTTCACAGCTGTTCAGTTTCTATAGTGGTTTACCATTTCTTTATTTTGTTTTATTTTTCTTGTCTTTTCTACGAGAATGTTGGTTAGTGAAAGCAAAAACCTTGTCAGTAGCATTTGCTGCTGTATCCCAGCACATAAAACTCTACCAGGCACATAGGAGGCATTTGATAAATATTTGTTGAATGAATAAATGTTGTTTTGCAACTCTTCTCACGCTTCCTCCTTGCCTGGACATCCCTTGTGTCCCATCGAGCCCAGAAAGCACCCATTCCTGCGGCAAGACTCAGCTGGCAATCACCTTCTCTCTGCAGCTTTTCTTGTCTTCCCTTCCTGCAAAGGGAGGGAGAAACTTCTAGCCTGTAACTCAGAGTAGCCAGCACTTGTGCATGCATCTCTGTGTGTATACACATCTGCTGTGCAATGTGAGTGTGTGTCCTTGTGTTCTCTCTCTCTCTCTCTCTCTCTCTCTCTCTCTCTCTATCTCTCTCTCTCTCTCTCTGATTCCCTTCTCTGGCTCTGACTCAATGATACCTCACTTTACTTATTTGTTTACAAATCTATCACCATTACTAGATTGTAAGCTTCTTGGGAACTGGACTTCTTAGTCATCCTCATTTCTCTAATATCTACCATGTAGAAAGTAGTTGCTCAATAAATAGTAATATTGGTATTCTAAGTACTTATAACATACTGTTATATCTTAGTAGTTAAAATAACTTTCTAAGTATCTTACATATATTAACTCATATATGTCTCTCTCTCTCTTTTTTTAAAGATTTATTTATTTATTTATACAAGCACTGGGTACAGTCAGAAGCACAGG